TTTTAAATTTGTGCCTGCAAACTGCAGCGCTCAATCTCAAAGCCTTTCTGTAGCGATCTCTTCTCCAACTTGACCTTGACATCATGGCCCCTTCTTCATTCCCAGCGGGCTCGGCCGTCAAGTTCGTGGCATGTGGGTGCAGCGCCGGAGGCTCCGCGTTTGCGGAGGGACCGGAGAGACTGCCTATATGCCCGATGGAGACAGATCCTGGCCAGATACCTTTCCGGTGCTCAATATGAAGATCTACGACACATACTGCCAAACGCAGGACGTGATATCGGAACAGGTCGAGAACCCTTTGAATGCTTTGGAGATTCTCGAGGGGCAGGTGGCGCCGGGTCACCCCATCATGGCCTATGAGGAGGCCAATCCAGCGGTTCGTATCTTGACTCCGAGACAGAAGTGGAAAGCCAGCTTTTTGGCCTATTTCATGGGGGCTGCGTGCCGAGGACAGCTCTCGATCATGAAGCAGTCAGGCGACGAGAGCTATGCGGCCTCTCTCGCTGACCAGAATTGTTGGCAAATTAAGGCAAGCAAACGCTTGACCTACACGCTTCGCCGGAATCATGATCTGAGCCTTGGCCGCTACAACGATGCTCTCGTTGAGAACATTGACCGCGAGCTGCAGGCATTTCGCTGGGCGCCTCATAAGATCTTGGGTTTCCTTCTTGGGAATACCAAGACGAGGTTCGCAGTTCTTGTTCAACTTCGTCGTCTGCACTACGACGACATCCCGAGCATCGACTCATGGTATACATCCAAGGGCACTCTAGGGTGTCCGAGACAGCGGCTCCTTCGACTCTTGGACTCCTTCGACTCTTGGAGAGCCTCTGACGGTGGAGCGATGCAAGGCCCTTGGTTGCATCTTGTACGCCACCCCTAACAAGGATTGGGAAGGCATCAGAGATCACGGGCTGGTCTTGGGCAAGGCCCGAGAGGCTGGCCGCGTCGCTATCCGCATGGCTTATGCCGATGGCACAGAGGCACCGCGTTATGGGACGCATATCTCGTACGGCCGTCATCTGTTCTACTGCAATATGAAGTATGAGAAGCTCTTTTCGGATGGCTACTCGCTTTACCTTGCAGACAACGGGGTACTTTTGTGCTACTAGACCGTATCGGCAAAGTACCTGACGTTCCACGCGCGCCCTCCGCATGAGAAGGATCCAGCAGGTCGTCAGTGGGACCGCCGCGCTCGAGAGGAAGGCTTTCCTATTGGGGACGGGATCCTCAGAGTCAAGGACAACAGGAGGCTCTCCTATGGGAGAGGGACCTGGTCCATGCTCATCGTCAGCAGCTGGAGGCTCTGCTTTTGCGGAGGAACCAGATGCTGCAGTGGGCACTCCTACGTTCAACCTGGACG